CCCTCGGCATTTGTTAAATATAAAAAGAAAAAAAGAAAAAAAAAAAAAAAAAAAAAAGCAGAACACATTCCAGGCTGCGCTGCTAGACCAGCCCAGGGAAGTGTTCCTCGACTGCAGCTTCCACTTGGACCATTTCTAACCCTCCAGCATCACTCCCATTGCTTGTGGGAACCAGGCAGGGCAAGTTACTCTGGGAATGAGCACATCTCCCTAGGCATGAGCAGGGTTTCCCACCCCAGGGGTCTTTGTGGTGGCATTACAAGGGAAGTGTGTTCTCCACACCTGGGTTGAAGCATCATGAGCCCCCAGCCATGATGCCATGACTTGGGGTGGTCATTGAAAAAGTAGGGGTGAGCTGTTCTTGCTTAGTCCCCACATGCCCACGTGTCCCACCCCCATAGGGTGTCCCTGGCCAGGCCTCCATGGGGGTCTTTGACACTATCCTGGTGTTGGCCAAATAAAGCTTGTGCCAAAAATACATCAGCTTGTGTTGATGATCCTCTGCATGATGATTCCCAGAGCTGGAGGCACTCCAGGACAAAGGTTCGGTGAGCCATCCTGCAGGCAATGAGGTGCAGGCAGGGTGTGGGCTGAGAAGAGCAGTGTGGGGACATGGGTGGTGCAGGCTCTGCCAACCCCTGCTCACCACAGCACCCTTCTGAGCACCCAGAGGAGACAGGCCAGGTTCCAAGCCATCCCCTCCTGGGAGCCAGCTGCTGTGCCAGACCCTCGGGGGCACATCAGTTGGTCCTCCCCTGGGACATGTAGAGCCTCCCTTTTTTTCCCAGCTTTTGGGATATTCAGTGGGATTTTTTTTAATTTTTTTTTTACCATAATCACTGCAAGTGCAATTCATGTTTCATTGATCCTGATTAATAGCAGAAACTGGTCCCGTCCTCTCCCTCACCACATTGGTGCTCCTAGTGGGTTCTTGGGAAGGACCAAGACCTTCTGAGAATCATAAACACTTGTGATGGTTTTTTTTCCTTGCAGCTCCTCAGTGCTCGTGTGCTGCCCAGGATGGAGGCAACAAGGAAGCGAGTGTTTACTAGGTAAGCACCAGCCTCTTGCTCCGTTGGACATTGTCCATTCTTGCTGAGCACTCCTGGCCTCAGCCCCACTGTCAGGGGCTGCCCTGATGTGCCCCATACAGGGGATGCCCTGTCCTGGGGCCCTCTGCCTGCAGCTGGACCCCCTGGACACTGGAGGCTATCCTGTCTCCCTGCAGTGCTTGCAGCCAGCAGCATGTGGCTGGAGTGGGTGCTCAGCACCCATGTTGGGGTGCTGGTCATAGAGCCCAGCCCAGCCCTGGGATACCCCCTGTCCCCACAATGATGCCCTGGAGTGCCCCAGTGGGCTCTTCCATAGGGAGCATCACCTCTTTCCTGGGATGGGAGGTTTCTCTCCATGTTGGCCAACTTTGGGTCTAAGGATTTGGGAGTGTTGCTCTGGGACCCAAGGGACAGCGAGGTGTCCCTGAGGTCAAGTGTGGGGACAGGAAAGGTGCAGCTGTGAGGATGGGACACAAAGAGTTCCTATGAGTGCTGCAGCATGGGGAGTTCGACCCAAGCTGCCAGAGGAGCAGAAACCTCCAAGACCAGGCAAGTGTCCCCATTGGGGAGTGGCTGTGGGGGCAGAAGAATGCCAGGCAGGGGCCACTGAGCCTGCAGGCAGGGCAGCCCTGGCCACACCAGGTGTTATGGCTCTCACCAGGGCCATGGCAAGCCCAGCATGGGTGCTCAGTGTGAAGCCCCAGGAGCTCATCCCCGCCGTGATGCCAGGATGCCGATGGATTTTGAGGTTCCAGTGCTCCAGAGTAGCTCTGCCTGGGGAGCCCCATGGCAGCAGTTTGCAGCCAGCAGCACAGAGCACGTAACCAACTAACCCACCGTGCATGAGCCCTTGTAACCGCTCGCTGCATGCGTTGGTGCCCATGCGCCGGGAGCAAGACACGGTCCCTCCAGCGTGCCAGCAGGGAGGGAGAAGGACAGTCTGCCAGGACAGTGTAGGGGACAGTCCCACCAGTGAGCTGTCCCCATCTCCCCACCCCCCCCAACCTGCTCTAACCACTACTCACTGCTCCTAACCTGTGCCATCTGTCTATTTTAGGGCTTTCTATAGTATCCATCACCGTAGGTCTAAGACCTCTCAGGTAAGGTGGACGGGATGGGTGGTCTGCTCTCCCTCCCCTGGTAGCTAAGGAGGCTTGTCCATGTGGGATCTGCCTGCGCCTGCCTGCACCACAGTGCTGCCTGTCCCATGTCCTGCCCTGCTGAGGGCCTTGACCCCAGCACAAGGTCCCCTTGGCTGGAGAGGCTGTGGTGGCCTTTGGGTGCTGATGGTCTGTGCAGGAGATGTGGTGGTGTGGCTGGCAGTGATGCTGCTACTGTCCCAAGGTATGCAGGGAGGGGTACAGGGGGACTGTGCTTGTGGCTTCCCCAAACCCCCTACCCCATGTTCCCATCCTCCCTCAGCCCCTGCCCAGAGCTGCCTCTGCCTGCAACAGAGTTGAGCAAGGGACACGCCTATGGGTGCATCTGGTGACAGGGACAGAGCTGAGCTGGGTAGCAGGAGGCTGGTGGCAGGGATGGAGCTGAAAAGGGTGGCAGGAGGCTGATGACAGGGACTGGCTGAGCTGGGTGGCTGGTGTCAGGAATGGAGCTGAACAGGGTGGCAGGAGGCTGGTGGCATTTCTCTGGTGACGGTCCCATTCAGCCTGCCTGGCTACTTGCTACGCCAGTTGTGGTACCATAGCTCAGCAGCACCCAGAGTGCCACAACGTACCCCTTCCCCTGCTCTGTGGTGCTGGGACAGCAGGGACAAGTCTGGTGGCACTCATGCTCACACCTGCCATCTGTCCCTCCATCCAGCTGTGTGTGAGGGAAACTTCACCTGCAAGGAGAACGAGGTGTGTGTCAGGCCTGGCGAGTGCCGCTGCCGCCATGGCTACTTCGGTGCCAACTGCGACACGAGTGAGTACTGGGGGGTACCCAGGGTGGGGGGGCGCCTGGTGTCCTGGCTTGTCTCAGAGTGTCTTTCCAGAGCAGAACATCGGGGTGAGGCTGCAGGTGCTCTTGCTCTGCCCTTGTCTGTCCCCTGGCTTTGTCCCCAGGGCATTGTCCCTTTAGAGCAGTCTTCTCTGAGATCTGGTGTAATGGCAGGAGGTGGGGAGGGGACTGCAGTTGAGAGGTCCTGTGGGTTGTCCTGTGGGCAGTACCAGGGCTGATGACTCTGCCCACAGAGTGTCCCCGGCAGTTCTGGGGTCCCGACTGCAAGGAGATGTGCAGCTGCCACCCCAACGGGCAATGTGAGGACGTGACAGGCCAGTGTACCTGCAACCCCAACCGCTGGGGCCCCAAGTGTGAGAACGTCTGCCTCTGCAAGCATGGCAAGTGTGACCAGAAGACGGGCAAATGCACCTGCGAGCCCAAGTGGTGGGGACCCCAGTGCTCCAGCTCCTGCTATTGCAGCCACAACTCCCAGTGTGACCAGCAGACGGGCAACTGCCTGTGCCAGCCGGGTTGGTGGGGCCGTGGCTGCAACAACCAGTGCTCCTGCAACAACTCACCCTGCGAGCAGTTCACCGGGCGCTGCCAGTGCCGGGAGCGAACCTTCGGGCCCCGCTGTGACCGGTACTGCCAGTGCTACAAGGGCAAGTGCAACCAGGTGGATGGGACCTGCACGTGCGAGCCGGGCTACCGGGGCAAGTATTGCCGCGAGCCGTGCCCAGCTGGCTTCTATGGCCAAGGCTGCAGGAGGCGGTGAGTGGCTGGAACCCACAGGGCTGGGCTGGCAGCATGGGCTCAGTGGGAGAAGGCAGCAAGTTTCAGGGTGCTGCAGAGGGTGACTGGCTCCCCTGGGCTATTGCAGGTGTGGGCAGTGCAAGAGCCTGCAGCCGTGCACTGTGGCCGATGGGCGCTGCCTGACCTGTGAGGCAGGCTGGAATGGCACCAAGTGTGACCAGCCCTGCTCACCTGGCTTCTACGGAGAGGGCTGTGAGCAGCTCTGTCCCCCCTGCAAGGATGGTCACACCTGCAACCACATCAATGGCAAGTGCTCCCATTGCAACCCAGGTTGGATTGGAGACCGGTGAGTGTGGCTGGGTGCTGGGTGCGGGGCTGGGTCCTTGTGCAGCGACGGCCACCCTCCTGCTGCTCCCTGCCCAGGACCAGGGCTGGCTGTGGGTCTCCTCACCTCTCTCTGGGGATGTCAGGGATGGGTTGAGCCTGCTGGCACCACTGTGGGACCAGAGGGAGCTGCAAGACCCTGCCACATGGCCCCAGCTAATTCTGGGTGCTGGGTTTAGGGCTCAGCTCTGAAGCCAAGCTGTGTTCCTGCAGGTGCTTGTGGTCAGGATTGGGTTTGCAGCACCCAAACAGAGCTGGTGACACACAGCCCCATCTCCCTGCCTGCAGGCAGGAGGGCAGGCAGGAGGGCTGGGAGGATGCTGATGGGTGCTCCAGCTGCCTGCCCTCATCTGTCTCCAGGTGTGAAACCAAGTGCCGGAACGGGACGTATGGGGAGAACTGTGCTTTCGTCTGCAGCGACTGTGTCAACGGGCAGTGCCACTTCGAGACTGGCCACTGCCTCTGCCACCCTGGCTCCCATGGCACCTTGTAAGTGCAGCATGGTGTGAACACCTTGGGGTGCCTCAGGTTCCTCCTGCCCCTTGGGTCCCCACCACTCCCAGGCAAAAGATTTCCTGCAGTGGAATCACTCAGGCACCAATTCTGATGCCTTTGGAGAGGAAAGGATGCTCTGGCAGAGCCGTTAGCACAAGGGAACTCAGCAAGAGAGGGGTTTTGCTTTAGGAAACTGCTGTTTGGCAAAAACAAATGCTGTCGGCAAAACAGTGGTTTGGGGTTTTTTTCCTTAAATCCAGGGTGGAATTTCTAGCTGAAAAGAGAGAAAAAACCACATCCCAGAATAGCAAATAGCGTCAAGCACATGGCATCCGTGGGGTGTGCCTTCTGCGAATTGTGGCTCTGGCCAGTGTCTTCCTCACCCTGTGAGGACCCCCCTGGGCCCCTCCTGCACTCCCTCCTAAGGAAGGGGCACAAGAGATGTGAATTACTTGCTCACATTGCCTGCTGTTTTTTTCCAATTGTTGGAAAAGGTGAGGAAAGTGTTTCCCACCTGGCTGAGGTGTTGCAGACCAGCTCCCCCAGGTCCTGCTGGTGTTGCTCAGATTTTCCTGGGAGTTAACCACGATACTCAGGATGTGGGGGACGAGGGATGCTTGGGATGCTGTGACTGGAGATGCTCAGGATGCAGGGACCAGGGATTCTTGGAATGTGGGGGACCAGGGATGCTTAGGATATGGGGGACCTGGGATGCTTGGGATGCAGTGACTGGAGATGCTCAGGATGCAGGGACCAGGGATGCTCGGAATGTGGGGGACCAGCGATACTCAACATGTGGGGGACCAGGGATGCTCAGGATGCAGCTCTGGCCTGAGCAGCATTGTGGAGCTGAACCATGGGATGAGTTGTGCCATTCATTTTTTATGAAAACGGGATTATCTCTGCAAGGAAGGTGAACGGGCTGCCCTCACCCTGCAGGGGTGTCCTCTCAGCTGTGTGCTGGGCAGATGCTAAGGGGGCATGCACAAACTGGGTTTATCTTCTCTGTATCATTCCCAGAAGTGGCAGGACTCTTAGGGGGAAAAAAATCGTCCCCCTCTGCTCTCCCAAAACCTCAGCCTGGGGCAGAAGTGGGGGTCCAAGTGGTGGGGTGAGAGGTTTGAACTGGCTGGGGAATTATCTCTGCTTCTGTCATGCTGTGTTGGCTGCCCCAGCGCAGCTGCTCAGAGTAGCCATGGGGCTCAGCACCCGTCGCGGGGCACATGGGGGCACGAAGCTGCCCTGGGCAGCACTTTTTGAGTTGCTGGAGCGTGAAATGGGCTGAGCTGCCTCCGGGCACAGCACCGAGGGCTGGTGGGGAAGCTGTGTCTCCAGGGGAGTAGGTTTGGGCTGGGGCCCGCTGGCTCCTTAGGGCTACAGCCACTCCAGCCAGGATGCTGCTGCCAGTGAGCAGCTGGCAGAGGGATCCGGTGCCCAGATCCATTCGGGTCCAGCACCGACATGTCTGTCCTGTGGCTGCAGTGGGAGGTCAGATCTGTCCCACCAGCACCAAGAGCCCCGGTTGCTTTGGCATGTGCCTGGCACAGGTTTGCCACATTCAGATCCTTGATGCTTGCAGGTCGGTACCTGTTCATGCACATCCCTGTTGCCTTGGTGACACTGCCAGGTGTCATTTTACCAGCAGTAGAGGTTTGATGGTGGGCTGAGCTGAACCAGGAGGGTCATAGATGCCTCAGGGCTGCTCAGTTGTTTTTTCTTCTTGGAGACCAAAGAAAATAAAACCAATCTGGGCACTATCCCAGCTCCTGGTCACTGAAGCTCTGCCTGGCTTTGGGGCGTGGGTCTGGGGGTGTCACAGCCATGTCACCACTGAGCTAAACTGGAAACCCTGCACATGACACCAGGGTGGCTTCAGCTCTGACTACTGGGTTAACCACCTTTCATAATTACTGTGCCTAATTGCAAAGCCCCTTGCAGGGAGCAGTGAGAGCATCAGCTCCAGCAGGGCCAAACCGTTGCAGGATGTAGAGGGGTTGTGTCAGAGCAGGCTGGAAAGGTGCCTCCTGCTTTTCTCCGGAGCAAGGGTAGGGTTTGGGAGGAGGCAGCAATCGGCGTAGCGAAGCCTCTCACCCAGCCCCTTCCCTCCAGCTGTAACCTGACTTGCCCACCTGGCCGTTATGGAGCCAACTGTGCCGAATCCTGCAGCTGCCACGACAGCACCTGCGACCCCCTGACAGGCGCCTGCCACATGGGTGAGTGCCGGCGGGCGCGGTGCGGGGCAGCAGGCAGCGCTGCAGGCTGGCACCGGGCTCAGCTGGCCGGGCTTGTCTTACAGAGGCCAACCAGCGGATGGGGGTGATCGGGGCAGGAGCACTCCTGGCCCTACTGCTCATCCTCTTGCTCTCCCTGCTCTGCTGCTGCTGCGTCTGCCGCAAGAAGGACGAAGCCCACGGGTGAGTGCCAGGTCTGGATGTGTTTGTGCCAAACTCTAGGGGAGATATGGATCTGGGGATGGCTAGGACATTGATGACCAGTGCAGGCAGGGCTGGGACTAGTGAGAGGATGCAGGGTGGACAGCAGTGCTGAGGGGAAACTGAGGCAGAGCAGCACTGCCGACCTGGCACCAGGTGCCCTGTGAGTCCCCAGGCTCTGAGCAGGTCCCACTGCATCCTCATGGGAGCACTCAGCTGAGGGGCCTAGGGTGAGCCCTGCCTGCAGACCCTGTGTCCCTCACCCTAACTTTTTTTCTCTCTCGTGGGCCATCTCACCATTTCTCATGGAGACCTGCCAGGTCCCCTCCAGTCTCCAGGGAACTGGAGCTGATCTGCAAATGGAACCCTAAAATACAGCAAAGGCATCGAGACATGACCAAAACCCCCAGAACAAGCCACTGGGCCATGTTGTGAGACCTGGGATGTGATGGGCTATGACACTGCTGACAGTGCTGCATGGGAGTGTTGGGATGGATGAGTTCCTGCAGCGAGGTCGGGATGCTGGAGAAATCCCCCTCCTGTGCTGCAGGCTGCTGCACGGGAATTTTCCAGAAGCCTCCTTCTGCAGCCCTGCCAGCTCAGTCCCAGCGCAGGACATCTGTCTCAGGAGCCTGGGGGCTGCATGTAGTTATCCCAGAGATACCAGCACAGCCCCAAGAGGGGAAATATCACACCAGGAGAGGGGAAATAGCTCAAAATAGTTTCCTTTCTCCTGGAGTGCCCGGACTTCCACAATGTCCCCAGACAGCTGGGTCACCTGCAGTGCTGTCTCAGCAGCAGGCCATTGCTGGCGCATCCCAAGGGACCTTGGGGACATTGCAGGTTTCCTACCTCAACACACAAAGCCACTCACTCCTGCGGCCTCTGATGATTGTTTGGAAACTTGGCCCCAGGAAGCTTCAAAACCAGAGAGAAGCCACGTGTTTGTTTTGGGGTGGGGATGATTTTTATTTTCTTTAAAGATTCAGGGTCTTGGCTGGGTGTTGTGGGTGTTTTAGGGCCAGGCTGCCAACAGCCACAGCCACATCTGGCCTCACCACCACCCAGTGGCTCCATTCAGCATCCTGGAGCTGGGGCTGGCAGCAACCCTGGCAGATGGGTGTCCCCCCATTGCCCAGGACAAGCCCTGCTGTGATCTGCCCTATTATCTTTCCCCAAGCCCCTCTATTAGCACCATCCCTGATCTCCTGACTCTCCTCTCGGCCCATAAACGCTGTCCTACCCGAGGCGGATGCTGGTGCCTCTCTGATGGGGCTGTCACCTTCTCTTGCAGCTCCAGCCAGGACGCAGCAGCCAAGAAGCCACCGAGACGCTTATGCGGGCGTTTCAGTCGCATTGGTATGAAGCTCCCACGCATCCCCCTACGCCGCCAGAAGTTACCCAAGGTCGTGGGTAAGGTGCTGGGGCTTGGGGAGGGGGGTGGAGAGCCACGCCCAGGGGCTTTACTTGTGGCTCACAGCATCCTTTCCAGCCCCAAACCCAGGACAGCGAGCGTGGCAGAGTGGTGATGGGGACATGTGGGTCCCTGGGGCTTTGGCGATGCGGGGTGTGAGCTGCCTGGCCCATGCAGGCTCAGCCCTTTCCCGGTCTTGAGCTTCTGGATGTCAAAGCATGTAGTTTTGCTTCACAAGGTCTGGTACCTGGTGCCTAGAGCTCAGCTGAGCTGTGAGTTTTGGAGGTTCCCCTGAAAGAGGAATGGTCGCAGCAGCCAAATGCCTTGTTTGCCCTTTTGCTCCTGACCAAACCCTACCCCACCTTTGTGTGGGGCAGGAGCATCCAAGTCAGGGCTGGACCCCACCCCTCTGCTGGGCACAGCAGCCGAGGATGGAGGGGCAGAGATTTGGGGTGAGTTCCCTGCCCAGGCACCAAGCAGAATGACAGAGGAGCTGCTCACAGCCCAGGAGCTCCTGATCTGGGGATGCTGTGGCTGTCAGGGGCCCCCCAGGGAGGCAGCTGAGAGACACTGTACCCTGCACATGCTGAAACCTCACTGCACTCCTCCCAGTGTGAGGATGGGGATCTGCTGCTTCAGAGAGGAGATTGTGGAATAAAGCAGTGTTGAAGGCAGCACTCCCCAGCCTGTGCTGGCTCAGCCCCACGTCCCCCCAACACCTCCCCATGCTGGTCAGACACCCCAAGCAGGTACTGGATCCTGGCATGCAGCAGCTCAGTCTGAGGCCCAATCCCCCACCCTGGGCAGAGAGACAGAGGTAGCTCCCATCCCAGCACACGGTGCCCCAGCTCTAGCATCAAAGCGGGAGGACTTGAGCTCCACACGGCACGGCCCTGCCCTGGGGCAGGGTGGACCAAGGACAGAGAAACGTTCCTGCTGCAAGGATAATAGAGGTTGTGTTTGTGGAAGGGGCTGGGCAGGGCTCGGGAAGGACAGAGGCTGCCTATATGTGGCGAGGGCAGGGGGGGCTCAGGGGGTCCAGAGGCTGCTGGCACCCACCCAGCTGCTCTAAACAGGGCAGAAGTGGCCCTGGGACAGGCTGAGGATGCGGCACTGGTGCCGGGGGGGATGTTTGGGATGGCTGTAGGTCCCAGCTGGGCTGGGTCTGTTCCTGGAGTCTGTTGATGGGGTTGTTGTTTCCCTGGGGGAAAGGCTTTGGTTGGCAGTTGTCTTGTGTTTGTGGTGTTATCCCATGTGGCATAGTGGAGCTGGGGTGGTCTTCAGCCACTGCTGGTCCCTCTGGTGCACAGTGCTGTGATGCCTCTGGCCCCACTGAGTCTGGGGACGCCCAGGTGAAGGACAGCTGCCTGGGCTTCAAACATGACCATGGTTGCCACCAGTGAGCACAAGCCCATATATAGTAGAACTTCCTCACATGGGGGCAGCAGGTTTTGAAGCCCCACCAAAGCTCATCAGGTGCCTGAAGCCCCAGCTACCACCCTTGAAAGCTGCTACCCCACCTCAGCACCAGCTTCAGATCTGCAGCATCTCCCTGGGGGGATGTTGGGGATGGCTGTAAGTCCCAGCTGGGCTGGGTCTGTTCCTGGAGTCTGTTGATGGGGTTGTTGTTTCCCTGGGGGAAAGGCTTTGGTTGGCAGTTGTCTTGTGTTTGTGGTATTATCCCATGTGGCATAGTGGAGCTGGGGTGGTCTTCAGCCACTGCTGGTCCCTCTGGTGCACAGTGCTGTGATGCCTCTGGCCCCACTGAGTCTGGGGACGCCCAGGTGAAGGACAGCTGCCTGGGCTTCAAACATGACCATGGTTGCCACCAGTGAGCACAAGCCCATATATAGTAGAACTTCCTCACATGGGGGCAGCAGGTTTTGAAGCCCCACCAAAGCTCATCAGGTGCCTGAAGCCCCAGCTACCACCCTTGAAAGCTGCTACCCCACCTCAGCACCAGCTTCAGATCTGCAGCATCTCCCTGGGGGTTGCACCCGAGTGAGCACACTGTGAGGCCACATCCTGGGCTGACGCCAGCATCTGCAATGCTAGGGTTTTGGCATCCCTGTGGGTTTCACTGGGTTTTCTTGCCCAGGGTGTCATTGATGCCGGTGTGGGTCTCAGTTGTGTGTCACCCCGCGGGTTCTGGGGAGCTTGGGGTGAGTGGTAGGGGATAAGCAGGAGGGCTCCAGGGCCAGCCTCCCACAGCCTCTCTGTGGCTCCTTCCTGCTTCATCCCAGCCTGAGGACCAGCCAGGCACTGTTCAAGCAGGACTGGGATGGGCACCCTGGTGCTGTGGCCCCAGGAGCTTTCCGGGAGAAGCAGCAGGAGGGGACCTGAGGGAGGTTGGCACATTTCTCCCAGCCCCTTCAGCCTGTGATGTATCAGCCAGGGGGAATAAATCCCAGGGGGCCAGGCAGGAGCCCCTGAGCCCAGCTCCGGGTGCACAGCACACCCTTTTTATATTTTGGCCATGTCTTGGGTCTCATCCCAGTCCCAGAGACGCCTCGTGGCCATGAGTCCCAACTACTCGTCACACTCCCTCTCAGGAAGCACCGCCCTTCATCCGCTTCCAGCTGCCTGCTTTTAATTTTCCCTTTTTGGTTTTTATTACAAGGAAAGCCATGTTGAAACTGCTGCTTCCCCCTCTCCAGGCCATTTGCTCTTTAAATCTTGCTGCTTTTCTTTTTTCTATTTTTTTTTCCCCTTCCTCCAAGAAGCCAAACTATGCAGGGGCAGACGCGCGTCACTGCCGTCACTTCATGTCCCCAAGTCTCTGAAGCCAGATTATTCTAATGAAGAATAAATGTTTGGCTGGGCATCCCAATAAGACTTGGAGTAATTTTATTGTAAAACAGGGACGTGATGCAAGAACCAAACAGTCCCAGCAGTGTGACTTAGACAGTTGAGGTGTGTGGGCAGAGGTGAAAAATACCTGGCAATATTGATATCAGCTGCTGCCCAAGGGGGGACCTTGCTGCAGCAAGCCCTGCACAGCAGGGCTCTGCCTGGGCTACAGCTCTTGCCACCACCTCAGGGGACAAAAGCCAGCAGGCAAAAGATAGGGACAAGAGCATCTGATAGTACCTGGCTCTCCAGGAGGGTGAGTGCCACCCAGCCAGCTGGGTGCTGCCTCAATCCTGTGGCAACCCCGAGGGCAATGCCAAAGGTGCAGGTACCCAGTGAGCACCACAGGGTGGGCTGTGACCTGAAGTTATCCAGCAAAAAACCTTAAAAATGATCACAGAAAAAAACAGTCCTTCCTGGCCCAGGCAACTGTCTTTGCCTGTTGTCTTTGTCTGTTGAAACTGGTGTTTTTTCTTTTCCACTCACCTTCTCTGTGGGCATCCTCCTTGGCTTCAGGATGGGAGAAACAGAAATGTGGCAGAACTGGGAAAAACAGTGCTGTGCATCCCCCTGCCACCTCTTGTCATCTGTCTCCCTCCTTTTGCAGAAGCAGAGGAAAAGAAAAATGCAAACAGTGATGCTGAAGGGGAAATTCATGTAATTTCCACTCAGTTCTTTCCCCAGGAAGGGGGACAGTCACAGCACCATGACTTTGTGGGGTGGCCATGCAGGTTGTGCAGCTCATGGGTGACCACCAGGATGCTCACCAGGTCCTTATGGGACCCAGGGCTTTGGGTGGCTCATCCCTCTGCCATCCTCGTTCTAGGCAGCTGGAGCCCTGCTATGGAGAGGAGGGGTGGATGGAGAGTGTAAGGCTTGTGTGGGCTCTGCTGTCCACAGCCATTTGTCCCCAGGCATGGGGGATGCTGGTCCCCACCCCAGCAGGTCGATGGCTTTTGTCACTGCTTGGCTGAGGCAAGAGCTGCCCCCATGCCTGGGATGCTATCCCTGTCCCCAAGACCCACCAGCAAGTCGGGCACAAAGGAGCTGTGCAGCATCCCACTCCTTGCTGGTGGAGGAGGCTGAGGGGAGCTGCCAAGACAGGCACTGACAGCAGTTCCTTGTCCTCACAGTGGCCCACCATGACCTGGAGAACACCTTGAACTGCAGCTTCATTGAGCCACCCTCTGTGGTGGAGCAGCCTTCCCCATCCTGGTCATCCCGTGGGTCCTTCTCTTCCTTCGACACTACGGATGAGGGGCCGGTGTATTGCGTCCCTCATGAAGGTGAGCTGGGGATGGGGCATGTCCCCAGGAGACTCTGGGGCAATCATCAGGGGCCATTTCCTGCTCAGTGAGGAGATCTTACCCTTGTGTGGTGTGGACTATGTCACCCTCGCTCCTTATGCACTGGTAAGTGACACGAGTGCTGAAGTTGCCTCCTGTGTGGTTTCAGAGCTGCCTTCTCCAATGTTTGCTGCCCTCGGTTGTTTTAAGAGTCTTCTGGTGCTGGGGTCCTTGACTGGGAGGAGGGGACTGGGGGACCTGGGGACACACTGGAGGGGGAACCAGATGGGATGCCATCCTTCCATGCTGCAGAAGCATCTTGGTCCTTCCCCTCCACGGGGGTCCTTGCCCATCCACCCTTACAAGTGTGTGTTTTCCTCCTACAGAGAGCGTGGGTGATGGCAGGGACAGGGGGACACCTGCCAGCCCTGGGGACAAGCTGATGGCCCCAGCCAGTGGGGAGGAAGCAGGCGAATACACCTTCCTGAAGGAGACAGGCTCTGTCAGAGCCTTCCCAGCTGACAGTAGCGAAACGCCGCTGCTCAAGTCCTCGGACAGCGAGCGCTCTTCCTGCGGCTCGGGCTCAGCCGGTGCTGCACTCTATGCTCGGGTGGCCCGGCTCTCCAAGCAGTCCAAGGAGGAGGAGGATGCTGGTGTAGAGCCCCGCAGCCCTGGGAAGCCGCCGTCTCCGGCAAAGACCAAACCTCGTCCCCCAGACCCGGCCACAAAGCCCAAAGTCTCCTGGATCCACAGCAGGTACAATTCTGGCCATTCTAACTCGCTGCCAGCAACCAGCCGGTCCCCAGAGCAAGTGGCCATCCAGTTGGGCAGCCCCGAGCAAGGCCAGAGCATGGCCAAGAGGAAGAGGAGCCCAAGCGAGACATCGGCTGGCACACAGGGCAGAGCAGAGGAGAAGGGCAGCACGCAAGGCAAGAAGCAACCGAAGGAGCCCGGTGTCCCCGAGGGCAAGGCCAGCCCTCAGTCACCCTCCAAGCCCAAGCAGAGGAGCAAAGCCGGCTCGGAGCCAATAGAGAGCATCAACGGGGCGGTGCAGAACGTCTTCCGAAAGATGGGCGCCTTCCAGCCGGAGCGGCGGGGCGGGGACAACAAGGATGCTCCCCGCAGCCCCGGTGTCAGCAAACCCCGCTCCGAGCCCCTCCATCCCCACCTGGCCTCCGAGCTGGCCGCCCAGCTTAAGGAAAAGACTCAGAGCCTCAACAAGGGGGATGGAGGCACTCGGGCCAATGGGGTGGGCTCCCAGCGGGAGAAGCCCACCCCTCCACAGAAAGCCAAGCGCTCGGCGGCTGCCAGTGGCCAGAAGACCAGCAAACCCTTGCTGCCCACTTCTCCCCATTTGCAAAAACTGATCCCTGGGGTGGCTGAGCCAGCAGCCGGGGAGCCCAAGCAGGTGGAGAAGCCAAGCACCAGCAGCGGCCAGGACCAGGCTCTCCCTAACGAGCAAGTGGCCAAGAAAACCCCCATTAAAAAGCCTCCCAGGAAGAAGAGCCGAGAAGCCAGCCTAGAGCAGCCCAGGCCAGCCGCCGTGCCCGCTCAGGTGGTGCAGTGACTGGGAGCCGGGCACCGGCCCCTCACCGGCTGGTTGTGCACCGGGAGGCAGGACATTTGCCAGCATATCCATGGACTGGGCAAGGGCACTGGAGGAGCCTTGAACCTCCATTTCCTGCCTCCATCTCTCTCATCCTTTTTTTTCCTTTAGTCTCCCCTGCCCCAGGACTTGGTCCTCCTGCTCCAAGCCCTGCTGCCTGCTCCCTGCCCGGGTCTGGCAGCTCACCCTCCCACACAGGGCAGGACCACAGGGAGCTGGCCTGGCCGCCAACCCAGGGTGGTCTGTGCGTGGCATATTCCCCCCCACCCCCTTTTTGTAGCAGCATTATCTATTGCATAAGCAGCGCTTGTTGTACTAGACGTACCCACGGTATATTCTGCAGTAACGGAGACACTCACTTCCCAGCCCACTTGGGTCCGTCGGGCTTGTGGAGCTTGGGAGAGGGTCAGTGCAGCTGCCGGTGCCCAGGGCATTGCCAGGGATGTGCCCCCCATCCATCACTGGTGGCAAACCCCTTCCCCAGCAGCCCAGGCTCCAGGCACTGCTCTCCACAGCTGGGCCTGCCACGGCCATGCAGTGCCTGGTGTGGGGTCGAGCTGGTTTCGACCAATGCCTCCCTGCCCTTGCCCAGGGATGCCTCTGGCCGGCAGGAAAGCACTAGTTACCGCCAGAGCCGGGCACCCAGCAAGCTCCCACATCCCATCCAGCAGAGTTGGAGGGATTAGTTTGGTACGACAGAGCCTGGCACATCTGCAGAGAGCTTTCCAAATAAAAATGTATTTCTTCTGTAGCCAGGTGCCATGTCTCTGTGCCCTAGGCTGCCATAGGTAGGTGACATCACCTGCTCTGGCTCACCCGGTCCTGAGCAGGATGGGGGGAGGTGGGCAACCCGGGGGCAGGCACAGGCAGGTGGTGACAGGCAGCGTGTGGAGGCAGGTCCCTGCTGCAGCTGCTGCTACGGGCTGGCTGGGCAGCAGGGACCAGCTCTGGGGGAAAGATTAGGAGCCACTCAACCACCATCCAGTACATCTCCTTTTCCACCACATCCTGCTGTATCCAGCACATCCCCTGTATCCAGCCCCCTCCCCAGCCCAGAAGAACCCCAGGGAGTGCCAGTCTTGTGGTCAGAGTCTCCCTGAGGATTAGACTCTGGGGTTTGGGAAGGCTCTGACTACTGAGCAGAGACCATCCAGCCCCAGCTGGGTGCTCGAGGGGCTGGGAGACAACTGGAAGGGTGCTTGCAGTGGGGCACAGGGCTCTGACCCCACCTTCTCACCCATGCCAAGGGATTGCTAGCCCTGCCAATGGTTGAGGTCTCCCTCAGCCCTGGCCAAAATGCTACCATGTGCAATGCTGGAACAAGCCCAGGCGCAGCTGAGATGGGCTTTCTGCCACATGGCTTCTGCTGAAGGTTCCCAAGTAGTCCTGCCTGCACCCTGGCTGCACCTGTGCCCACCACTCTGCCTGGCTGTCCCTGGAGCCACAGCCTGCAGGGACCCTCCTGGCCATGAGAAATGAAGCAGGGTTCTCCAATCCCATGGGAGCCAGGAGCACCCATGCCCATCATTGAGCCATCCTGAGCTCTGCCCACAGTGGGGGACAATGGCCCAGAAGGAGACTACCAGACCAAATGGCCACCCACCAAGCAATCTCATTGGAGGAGGCAGCTGGTGGACACCAGGGTGCAATGAGGCCACATGGACACCACCGTGGCACTCAGGAGGAGACAGGCAGGCTCCCTGGCACCCCTCAGCATCACACAGCGGGAGACGGCAGCAGCTGACAATGACTGGAGAAGCATCATCTCACTCCAAAAAAGCTGAAGAACAAAAGGAATCAGACGTCACACAACATGTCCGTGTTGCTTTCCAGACTCGCAGCCGCCTTTCAGAGTTCTCTTACTCCTGCTTCACTTTCCCTCAGGTTTGACTTGGGAAGATGAAGGATGACAGTGGAGATGACTCCTAGAGGATGTCACACAGTGCAGTAATGGGAGGTGATGAATCAGCTCAATGTCACCAAAATCAAAATAGACAAAATCAGTAGAAAAATGAGTGCACTGAGCCTGTGAGACCTCGGATGACATTGAAGGCCCTCACCCTCCACCACAGAGGTCATCAGAGAAACAGAAGAGGTTTCCAGGAGGCTCAAAAAGATCTGGGAGAAGGAAAGGAGTTGAATTCAGACAATAAAAGTGCAAAAAATAATACAATTAAGGAGGGCAGAGGTTGTCACAGACATCTCATGGTCCTGTACAAACCTCTTCATGGCAGCACTAAAGAGCATCTGAGGGAAACCAGCCATGATGCTCATAATGGCGACCCAGCAAGGTGAGTTTAGCAATAGCCCCCACCCCTTCCTAGGGCACTTTCTCACCCATGCAGGCAGCAAAGCTGGAGCTAGTGCCCCAGGCACTGCAAGTCACCCCATTCCTCAGGCTATCCTGAGGCAGCAGAGCTTTACCCAGACATGAGCCCATCCATGGGCTCCAACCACAGCCCCAACAAGGCAGAGGAGAACCTGTCAGTAAGTAGCCTACAGGTAAAGGCCAAAATCCCCCATCACAGATGCAGATGTGCATCCTGGCAGGTCACTGGAGGCTCCAGCCCAACCAGCAGCAATGAACCACAGCAGGGCAGCCATGGTGTTGTCTGGCCAAGTCGTGGGATAGAGATCCCCCAGCTCCTAGTGACTGTCCCAGGGCTGTGCCCTTCCCCTGGGGAAGAAATTTCTTCTGGGATCCAACCTGAACCTCCCAAGCTGTTGTCCCCCATCACATCATCTGGCACCACTAAGAAGAATTTGACTCTGTCATCTCAGTTGTTGGCTGCTCTTGAGCCCCCTTCACCTCCTTGTGACCAGGCTAGCCCAGCCTAGCCCCCTCCACCTCTCCTGGTGCAATGTGGGCCAGCTCCATGACCATGTTGATAGCCTACTTCTGGGCCTCTCCAGTTTCTTCACATCTCTCTTGAATTGGAAGACCCACATCTGGATCCTACTGGGTGGAAAGGCAGCAGCTTCGTTCAGGTGGCTTCCCGTGCCTTTCCCAATGTCCACCACTATAGGCTTTGCCTTATTCTGGAGAAGAGCAACAAAAAGCTGATGTTCAGCCTGAGGTCTACCATAGCCTCCAGGTTCTTTTCAGCAAGGTCCTTCCAGCTCAGATGGGTCATATGCTTCAGATGGGTCAGATGCTTCTCCAAGAAATGTCCTGTGATGCCACAGGCCATGAAGGACATCACCATCACAATGGATCAGGCATTGCCACACCTCAGCATCACAAAGGGCTGATTTCTCCACATTCGACCACATATCTCTTTTCCAAGGATCCTGCCAGGGCTTGCAGGCTTTCCTCCCATCGCCACACTTTGGTCATCTCTGACTGACAGGCACCCTGTGACAGGCACCCGTAAGGGGACTTTGCTTAGAGGTCCACAAATCAGCAGGGGCTGAAAACCATGAAACAATTTCCCTGCAGGTGTAATCCCACCAGAAAGGATCATGCATAGCATAAATGCACTTGCTTTTCATAGCTGCTTTCCATCACTCTCTTGGACATATAGAAACCTTTGACCTCAAAGAAAGACCAGCTGAACCCAATCACAGGAGGAAGTTGTAATGTGGAGCAAAACCAGCTCTTCTGCTCACCCAAGATGGTACAGAAGATGTTTTCTCCTGAAGCCACCTTAAGGAGTCACCTCCCCTGAAGCTACCTTCCCAAACAGACAGGTCAGAGGTTTGGTGACCATGTGATGGCTTCAATGAGGACATTGCATGGCCTTCCATGGCCAAGGAGAAGAGTGGATGAAGCTGGCAGGAAATGCTGAGGTGTAGTAGGGCCTGCCCAGTGGCCACCAGCTCTCCTCTCTACCAAGACCTCAACCAGGGGAAGCACAGGAGCATGGAGGCACTTATGGAACATCCTCTGCTCTAACAACACTGTAACACTGCTCTTGTTCCCATTTCATCCCAATTTGCCGAAGTGAAGAAGGAGCTGTTGGGTTGGACAACAGCAGATTTGTTTTGGCTTGGCCAGTGAGCAGCACTAAAAGCGAAAATATTGCCAACAATTCATTTCCTATTTCAGGCCCTACCAAAAATAAACTTGGAAGGGAAACTCCAATGAGAATGAAATGTGCATGAGACAACAAGGTCCCAAAATTCTATAGGAAATGTCTGTGTCCACACTCACTGGGAGGGCATGTGGTGGTATCAGGGGGATTCCATGCTGGATGGGGGACTGGGGGCTAGGGGAGCTCCATCAGCTCCATCAATGGTACAGGACAAGCCAGGGTAAACACAAGAAGGACATGGAGCTGTTGGAGTGAGTCCAGAGGAGGAAATGAGTATGATGAGAGGAGTGGAGAAACTCTGCTCTGGAGCCAGGCTGGGAGAGTTGGGGTGTTCAGCCTGGAGAAGAGAAGGCTCCAGGGAGACCTGAGAGCACCTTCCAGTGCCTGAAGGGGCTCCAGGGAAGCTGGGGAGGCACTTTGGATAAGGGCAGGGAGTGAGAGGACAAGGGGTGATGAACTGAAACAGGAAGAGGGGAGATTTAGGTGAGATATTTGGAAGAAATTCTTCACTGTGAGACACCATCCCAGGTTGCCCAGGGAAGCTGTGGCTGCCCCATCCCTGGAAGTGTTCCAGGCCAGGTTAGATGGGGTTTGGAGCTACCTGGTCTGGTGGGAGGTGTCCCTGCTACCAACCCCAGAGTACCAAGAACACCTTTAACCAGCATCTGCAGCATTTCTGTGGGATGATGGAGCTCTTGGAGGGTGTTTGCAACCTTTTCACCCATAGTGGCTGCCAGCAGTGGCTTTGTCACTGCAGCCTTTTCCTGTGCCTGCGATGTCACAAGATACAAGACTGCTGTATATATATACCAGGAGTATGTATTTTTTTCATAGAGACATACACACACACACACACAAATACTTATATATACATATATAAAAATATATTTACACTCCTACACACTACAGAAGTAAATTATTTCTTGG